TACTTATTTTAGAGAGGTAAAGGGAGGGAGAAAGAGAGGGAGAGAAACATCCAATTCACTGTCCTTTCTTCTGTTCCTTCCGTTCTGTTACTGAGCCTACTGATGAGATTTTTATTTGGGTCATTCTAACTTTCATTTTAAAAATTTCCATATGGTTTTCTTTAGAGCTTCTCTGTCCTTGGTAGGACTTTCTATTTCTCCCTTTGTTTCAAAAACATTCATGACAAATTGTTGACAGGTTGTTAACATACCTGCTTTAACATTTTTGTCAGGTAAGTCTAACATCTTTGTCATCTCAGTGTTGGCATCTATCAATTGTCTTTTCTCAGGCAGCTTGAAATTCTTCTAGGTCTTGGTGTGAGGGGCAAATCTTAAATATTTTTCATCAAATCTTAGCCATTTTGTGTATTATATTATGAGATGGTCTCATATGTAAGTCTTCTGTTTCCGATTATTTAAGTTGATTGTACTCTACCAAGAAAGAGATACAGAAAAAAAAACAGGTTCCTCATTTGGCCTCCATTGATGCCCATTTGGAAGGATGTTCCTTATTACTGCTCAGTGGGTTCCAGCTCCAACTGATACCTCCCTGGCTGGGTGAAGTAAGACTGTCTTGTTACTGCTGCCCAGATGGCCTCCACTGACACCACAAGGAAGGAGTAGGTGGCCTTGTTATCGACAACGAAAATGCTAACTCTACTGGGCCTCTACTGACACTACTCCAGTGCAGAGTTGGAAGGGTGTGTCATTACTCAAGAGTGGGCATAGGAGTCCAGCTCCTTATATGAGCTCTACTGTAGCTATAGATTCTGAGGGTCCTCAGTATCACCTAACAGAGATGAAAGTCTCGGCTCCCTAGTCCACCTGTTCTGCCACAACCTTTGTGGGAAGAGGAGGGTCATGGTGTCTTCTTACTGCCTGACAATTGTGGAAATCTAATCTACCCACTTGACCTTTGCTGTTGGGACTGGGAGTAGGTCCATGGATTTTTTTGTGATGTCTGTCTGGAGAAGAATGATCTAAAAGTTACATCTTGCTTAGGCTTCTTTCTTTCAACTCCTTTGGCCTAAAAGATAAAGGGTTTTTCATATTTACTTTTGACTGCATTTGTTGGCATTTCTAGATTGTCAGCTTCTTCAGTAACAAATCCAGGATAAATGAGGAGAAAATAAAACCCAGGGTCTCATTGCCAAGCTTTTCATTGGCCCCCAAGGTCCCTAAAGCTAGTTTTCCTTCTTCACTCCATGTTTTGGTCTTCTATTTGTTTTAGACATAATGCTTGAGATATTTAGTTCTACCTGAGAAAGGAATAAGAAAATGTATGTCATCACTATCTATCTTCCTGCAAGCAGAACTCAACCCTCTGAAAGATTTTAAATAACAGAGTTCTATGTGGGTCTTTGCATTTTGGACAGATAACTGTACATGAGGAGAGCTAAGAAACTGCAGTTAGGGTAGAAATGGTTCCGGGGGGAGTGACATAAAAGGTAGAGGCATTTGTTAGAATGTGCTCTAGACCAGTTATCTGATGACAATCAAGAACACACAAATCAGATCAGACACCCAAACATGGAATGAACCACCAATTAACATAACATACTTGTACGTACCAGCTTAATATCAGCCTTGACTATATGGAGGGAGGGATGAAAAAACAGAACATTTTATAGGTATTAAAATGGAGATTCAACAGCATGTAATGACCAGTAGAGTATGATATATTAAGATAATAAAGTTAAAATCATTACCAGATTCTTATTTTGCAGGTCGGAGTGGATACAGGTGACATTAACTAAACTACAGAATACATTTTAAAAATGCATTGCAGGGAAGAGTGGAGGTGATGAGTTCAGTGCATATCAATTTGAACCTTCTGAAGACATCTAACGAGTTGGTTCTCAGCAGAAAGGTCAGACACAGATGGGTTGGAGCCTTGGTTATTAGTAATGCTCATGTCCGACTGCATGAAGATTAACAAGGACATATAAGTAGATGGAGAAAAGTAGATGAAGAACCAGATGCTACTAAACCCCAATGTTTAGGACCAAAGTAAGAAAAAGCAAGACAGCGAAAGGAGGACAAGCTGTCAAAAAGTTAGAGTCCAATTTGGTTCCACAAGCACTTAGTGTGTGCCATGCAGTGTGCTAAGCAACTAGTTTTTGAGGCCTTCACCCTCTATGATATATAAACAGATAATTTCAGTACAGTGTGGTCCACTCAGCAGCAGATGTATGCTCAGGGGAAAATTGAACCATGGAATTGGGCACTGAGTACAGCCAAAGACTGTGAGAGGAACCTTTTGAGAAATGATAACATACAGAGTCTTCAAGGAGAGTAAGAATTAAATAAGAAAAAAAAAAACCAGGGAAAGTCATGTAAGACAAAAGAAACAGCATGAACAATAGCAAAAGGGCACGGAGTACAAGAGGACAAAAACTACCTGCAAGACAGTTAGGGTTGATGACACTGAGAGGAAAGAAAATCAGATCGAAGAGGCCCTTTGACTTATGAAGTCACTGTTGGCTTCTGCTACAGCAGCCTCTATGAAGTGAGGTGGACAGAAATTGGGCTACAGTGGAATGAAGAGTACCTGGAAGGGTGTGTTTAGACAGTGTAGGTAGAATGTTTTTCCAAGAAGCTTAGTGAAGAAGAAAATAAAGATGAGATAGCTAGAAGTGGGAAAGGGTCTAAAAGGCTTGGATTTGTGATCACAGAGAATTTAGTATGTTTACAAGTCATAGGAAAGAAATCAGAGTGCAGAGAAAGGGTTTATGAATGTAGCTCACTTCATTCATTCTTCTGCAAAACAAATACTTAAATACCCTGTTCTTGAGCACATCATTCTAAGATAATGACACATACCAAGCCCCTTTCATTGTGTTAAGATCATGTTTTAAATAAACTTGAGAAATAATAAAAGAACAATAGTATATGCAAAAAAATTACATGCACTTCAGATCTAAAGGTAGCTTAATGCTTATAAATGTAATGACACCTTTGGCTGCCACACTTATGTTAGCGATACCACAAGTCATTATAAGCATTTGGTGTAGAAGTTTTTGTTTTTGCTTTTGTTTTTTTACTTCAGGGGAAATGATTATTTTAATAAACATTCTTTGTATAACTTCAGCATGGAACAGATTTGTTGAGATTATTTTATGTTTTAATTATTATACACAATGCATATTAAGTCTGCAAAGTACAAACCTAAGTACAAGATACAAAGTACTGTGAGGTGGCTTATGGTGTCAAAGTCTGACTTAATATCTGAAACCATTCAGAAACAGAAAATCAGCAGGTAAAAATGAAGGAACACTCGTGTCTTCAAAGGGTAACTGGGAGAACTCCACCAAGGTAGACAATAGTCTCTAATTTTTTTCAAAATCATATACGTTGCAGAATTTTAATGGCGTAAAGAACTTTGACATTGTCTAATACTGTTACCCACCCCCCAGACGTAAAATTCCCTTTTTTCACATCCCTTGCCTGATGTCGAGAAACTTTAATGAAAGAGAGCCTTTTCTTTGGGAGGTTGCCTATTTGACCTCTGGATAGTTACATTTGTCTCTGACTATTCCCCCAATATTGGTCTCTGTAACTGTGCATTACTACACTATTTCCTTTATACGTAACAATTGTTTTTTAAATTTTTTATTAAACTTATTGGGGTGACGTTGGTTGATAGGATCATGTAGTTTCAAGTGCACATTTCTGTGATATGCAATCTATATATTGCACTGTGTGCCCACAAAGTCAAACCATCTTTTGTCCCATGTATTTGGCCCCTCCACCCCTTACCACTTCCCTACCCCCTTTCCTCTGGTAACCACCACACTGCTATCTGTGTCCACGAGTTTCAGTTTTATAGCCCACACACGAGTGAAATCATATGGTACTTAGCTTTTCCTGACTGACTTATTTCTCTTAGCACAATATTCTCAAAGTTTGCAATGATTTAAACACCAAAAAATACTAAACACATATGCATACAAAATGTATTATCTTTCAGACTAACCATTCACAAATTCATTCCTTGCTCACACGACTAGTCCCCTTATTCCAGATGCTTTCTAATAAGTTAATTATTTTTCCTCCTCCCCATGAAACTGAACACAAATTTCCAAATGTGAAAGAATAAAATAAGGTTATAACATTGTATATGTTTTTTTAAGCAATCCTAACCTACCAACATTTTATGTTTGAACTATGGACAATTATAATATACAGGGGCTTAACCACATAAACTGCAACTAATTCAAGTTCCCCACACTTCATTTCTGCAATTATTTTTAACATAAAAATGAGATTAAATATTTTTATATTTTTCTATCTTATGCTTTTTGTACCAAAAGTCTGATTTTGTTTTCAGCATTAGTTTGGTAAACTACTGTTTGCTGCCCCTCTAAAATTTTGGCCTCCGACAACTCTGATAGGTGTGTTTTAAGTATTCACACAGGACATTGGTAAAGTTAAACAGAAGGAGCACGTGCGCAAAACTTTCTAGCACACACACAGAAATTTATTCCTGGGAGACTTTAATCAGCCCGCAATTCCCTTCCCTATACATATACCATCATCAGAAACCACCAAAAACATCCAGCTAAACTCAACACGACATACATTTGGAAACTCATTAATTCCATAAGAACACGAAAAGGCCAATCTATGTTGTTTTATGATAACGATTTTCTTTATTAAGATTCTAAAATCAGTATCAGTGTGATATTTTCTAGAAATCTGTTAGGGATACACATCAAACATTTAGTGCGTGCTTCTCAGAATATAATTTTTGTGGCATGTTCAACAAATTTACTCAGCTGGCTGTTATTTTCTATATATTCCCTTCTCTTTGAAATCATATTTTTAACTGGGAAAAGAAAAATATATAAAAATGTCCCTTCTTCCCATTCTCATTTTTCTATTCTTACTTAGAACTACTTCCCAAACTGTTCCAGTTAAATAACTATTATTTATATGCTGTATTAATTTTATTTTATTACCTCATATAAAACTGTTGTGTTCCCATGAAGAAGAGGTCCATAACAGATATAGGAATGTCCAACAACCCAGCCTAAGTCAGAAGCGGCCCACCACACCTGGAAAATAAGAGGATAATAAAATGCGTACATCTGAGTCAGAGAAATGTCATGTAAAGTGGATTTAAAGCCATGATTACCTCTCCAGGTTTAAGTCCATATATAGAAGACATTGTCCAGTTCAGCATTACGGCGTAGCCCCCAGTGGGTCTAACCACACCCTAGAGGAGAGGAAAGTAAAGCTAAAGTCATTACACAATGTGTTAGAAGATTCTCTGCCTTCCAACTATCTACATGAAGAAGTTTCTGTTTAAAGTATCTTATATTTTATAAACTACACATTACTTCTATATAATTATATCAGAATCATTATTTCTTTGGCTCCTCCAGGAATAAACACAAAATAACGTGCCCACATCAACCCCGTTGCAGAACCCATTCTCACAGATGGCTCTTGACCTTCTGTGGAAAACTTATAATTTCACAGAATCACATGCAATAAAAACTTGTTCCAGTGGTAACATAAATTAACAGCATTACATTTTCAGACATATTTCCAGAACAAAAATGGAAACACAAAATTAAGTACATAGAAAGGTCAAAGGTAGCTGTATGTTATACAGACTAACATAAGGTTGTCTATTCCTTAATATTTTTACATATTAGTATGCTTAGAAGAAACAAAGTCATATTCTAACTGGAGCCTCATTACAATGCTGCCCTGGGAGTCATGCTAGTCCAGTTCCTGAGCTGAGCAATTCTGCACTGACGAATTATGCAACCCTGAGGAATCAGTCCTGATGCGTTGGATCTAAGGCTGACAGATTTGCCTTATATTACGTTTTGGGCAAAAGTAGAGATTGTTACCCCAGCTGGGTGGCTCAATCTGTTGGAGCATCACCCCAGACACCCATACATTGGTAGTTTGATTCCTGGTCAGGGCACATATGTAGGTTGCAGATTCGATTCGACCTCTGGTCAGGGTGCGTGGGGGAGGCAACAGATTAATGTTTCTCTCTCACATTGATGTTTCAGTGTTTCTCTCTTTCTCTCCTGTCCTCACTCTCTAAAATCAATAAACATATCCTTGGGTAAGGATTAAAAACAAGTAGGAATTGTTACATCACATTACTACAGCTTCCATGAATCAGTTTCTAGCAGCTATCTACAACATTGAACATATTCAACTTCAATGCAGGATTCATACTTGAAAACTGCACAAAAAGTCATGATAAATAAGAACTGATGGCAAATATAATAATTAATTTTCTTTATTGCTTCACTATAAACATTAATCAGCATTGGCTCGAAAAGACTTGATATCCTTACTTAAAGGAGGAAGGTGAATTCTTGCTAAGAAATATTCAATATGTCACTCAAATATATTTTGAAGCATTATTTTAATAGAGAATAATTATTGTGCAGAAAATAATTATTTTACCTAAAAGGGCAAACACAGCCCTAGTGACTAAATGTGCTAGCAGTTGTACCTCCTTGGCATAGCTCTGCAACTGTAACATACACAAATCAGTGGAATAAAAAAGAAATTGACTTTCTGCTAGTTACTAAAATTTCTTCTCTCCTCGGGTACCACTGATAAAACATGGATATCAAGCTGCGGAACACATTTTATCTACCAGCAGCAACACCTGGTCCCTTAGCAAACACCCCACACAGCTTCGCTGGCATTTGACAGCCACTTTCTGGGTTGTATGACATAGTTAGCATGCAGCTGGCTCTCTTGATCACTTTGGGAGCAGTAGAAATGAGTCTGCTGCCAGTAAGTTTCACACATGCATCTTTCCATGTGAGTGGGGTGGCTTTTTCCTAGTATATTGAGTATTATCTTTCAGGTACTTGGCTAATTCCTTTGTCCATTTGAGAAGGTCTTTTTCTATGATTTAATACCTTGATGAATATGCTATTAATTAATTTGCAGGCACTAGAAATTTTTTTCATTTGATATCCATATATTATGATAGACAGTGATAATGTCAGTAACAATTTCACCCAAGATGTTTTAGAATTTTCTCTCCACCTCCTGTCCCTGAATTTAGAGCTCGTTTTTATCAGTAATTAAAAATATTATTATAACAGGGTCAAGTGTTAGATGATGTGGTACAAAGTATAAGGTAAATTAATAGAAAGTGATAGAAAGGAATTGCAGGCTGGGGAGAACATAAGTAGCAATTCATTTGTAAAACTTAGAAGATAATTTAAAGGACAGGTTACCAACTTTCTATTTACCTCCCAAGTGAAGAGGTAAATAGAGGAAAAGATACTCCGTTCAAGTATATTTACCAATGCCGCTCTGTCTGAGAAGTGGGAGAACTTAAACTCATTTGACCCTCAAAAATTGAGGTTTAAAAATGAGGCCATGCATGGGAAAGCAATTAAAATTATAAAGGCTAAAATTTTAAATCTTATTAACAAAATTATTTCCTTAGTTCTAGCAATTATTGATATTTTATTTTCCCTGTGCTAATACTACCCAAAAGGCAGAAATGTAAACATCATTAAGGATATCAAAGATTCTCATTAAAACAATTGTTTTTAATATATTTTATTGATGATGCCATTACAGTCATCCCATTTTTTCTCCCCTTTATTTCCCTTCCACCCTGTATCCCCCTGATCACCAGCATTTCCCCACCTTAGTTCATGCCCGTGGGTCATACCTATAAGTTCTTTGCTTCTCCATTTCCTGCACCATTCTTAACCTCCCCTGTCTATTTTGTACCTACAAATTATGCTTCTATTCCTTGTACCTTTTCCCCTTTCACCACCCTCTTTTTTCTGGCTGCTAACCCTCCATGTGATTTCCATGTCTGTGACTCTGTTCTTGTTTTAATTGTTTTCTTAGTTCATTTTTGTTTTTGTTTTTTATGTTTGGTTGTTGATAGCTGGGAGTTTTTTGTAATTTTACTACTCATAGTTTTGATCTTCTTCTATTTCTCAGGTAAATCCCTTTAACATTTCATATAATAAGGGTTTGGTGATGATGAACTCCTTCAACTTGAATTTATCTGGGAAGCTCTTTATCTGCCTTTCCATTCTAAATGATAGCTTTGCTGGATAGATTCATCTTGGATGTAGGTCCTTGCCTTTCATGACTTGGAATACTTCTTTCCAACCCCTTCTTGCCTGCAACATTTCTTTTGAGTAATCGGCTGATAGCCTTATGGGAACGCCTTTGTAAGTAACTGTCTCCTTTTCTCTTGCTGCTTTTGAGATTCTCCTCTTATCTTTAATTTTGGGTAATGTAATTATGATGTGCTTTGGTATGTGCTTCCTTGGTTCCAATTTCTTTGGGACTCTTTGAGCTTCCTGGACTTCTTGGAAGTCTATTTCATTTGCCATATTAGGGAAATTCTCCTTCATTATTTTTGGAATAAGTTTTCAATTCCTTGCTGTTCCTCTTCTACTTCTGGCACCAATGATTCAAATGTGAGAACATTTAAAGTTGTCTCACATGTTCCTGAGCCTCTTCTCATTTTTTAAAATTCTTGTTTCTTCATTCTGTTCTGGATGAATGTTTATTTCTTCCTTCTGCTCCAAACCATTGATTTACATCCCAATTTCCTTCCCTCTACTCTTGGCTCCCTGTATATTTTCCTTCATTTGACTTTTCATAGCCTTCACTCTTTCCTCTATTTTGCAGCCATACTCAACCATTTCTGTGAGCATACTGATCACCAGTGTTTTGAACTCTGCATCTGATAGATTGGCTATCTCTTCATCACTTAGTTCTATTCTTAGACCTTTGTTCTTCTATTTGAGCCATATTTCTTTGTCTTGGTGCACCAGTTATGTTATAAGGGTAAGAGCCTTAGGTATTCACCAAGGCAGGGCAAGCCACATTGCTGCTTTGTGGTCCTGTATGTGCGGGAGAGGTCCAAAGGGAACAATGCTGCTTGCTCAGCTCTTGGTCAGCTTTCTGTCACTTCCCCCACTACCCACATGTAAATTGGGCCCTTCTGGTGCTGATTCTAGGCGGGTGGTTTTGTGTACATTCTAGGACCCTGGAGGTCTTTCCTGTGAGGCTGTGAGTTTCTCCTGCTGCCTCAACCCTCACAGGTGTTTTCAGTCAGAGGTTTTGAGGCTTTATTTCCCTGCCCTGGAACCCTGGGTTGCAGAGTCTGTCTCACTCCGCAGTTGCTCCTCTTGGTTTATCCACACACAAATGTGGGGCCACCCAGTCTGCCAGCCACCAACTTGCTGAGAGTCCTCTCCACCCTCGCTGCCTGTCTCCACCCCTCCCACTGGTCTTTTTTTCACTCCCGGACTCCAGTTGCCATTCTTTAATTTTATCTTGTTTGCAAGAGGCAAGTATCCCTATGCCTCCATGTTGGCTAGAAGTTCATTAAAAACAATTAAAAATGGACTAAAGATGAGAAAAACTCCATAATATCTGTTTTCATCAATCTTTGAGATCCACTTATTTTTACTTTTTTTAAATAAGAGTATAAAAATTTCCATAGAGCATTATTTCACTATTCATTAATCTGAACTCTAGATCTGAAATTTGGTATTGCCTTCAAAGTATTCAGAGGATAGTCATTAATTTTCTGAGTATTTGATCTGATGCAGAAATAAAAAACTGCATCCTTTCATATTCTCCATGTAGATCTTTTACAAGAAATTTGAAAGTAAAAAAATAGATTATATTTTAAAAGGGCTTATTTATTATAACATTAATATTAATGTGTGACTAAAAGTAACTCATTTTTTTCTTATTTATAATCCTATTTTCCAAGTAATCATAATTAAAATGTAAATGAGAAATCTTGCTCAGCCTCTGAAAACACATAAATCATGCTTTAAAATATCATTATATTATAAGTACACCAAATTAATCAGAAACTAAAACTGGTATCTTAAAATATATTTAAAAGTTGATTATGAAGGAAAATACTTATTCGATATCAATGCTTACTCTAAAACACAAGCATACTGCCTTTTCATTTTTTGAATCTGTTATTATTTTTTTATATACTCACACAATATCTACCTTAAAAGTAAAGACATTAGATGACCTTATAAATTCTCAGAAAAGCCCTGTAACCTGCCAATACACTGTTCTTGTTTTTGTGGAATCAGTCATTATACTTAAAATCTTCTGGAGAGCTGGAAAGACATCCAGGTGGGAGTAACACTCCATGCTACAAAGAAAAGCGTACATAAAAGTGAACTCTACCTCGGAAACGGGAAAGGAGACAAT